CGATCACCAAGAAAACAAACGCTAGCAAATGCTGTTGAGGGCGCGAGAAAGAGAAGCCTTATTCACTGTCGGTGGGAGTATAAACTGGTACAGCCACTGTGGAAGTCTGTGTGGCGTTTTTATTCAAAGGACTTAAAATAGGACCACATATGACCCAGTCCTGGGAATATACCCAAAGACTCTAACTCAGCACAACACAGAAATACTTGAACATCTATGCTCACCACTGCTCGCTTTATAATAGGTAAGAAATGCCCAGAGACAGGTGAATGTGTGAAGATGTGACACATGTACACAACGGCATTTCATTCAATCCCCCCAAAAATGAAATCATGACACTTGCAGGAAAAAGGATGGATGGGTGGAGCTTAGAATTATTGCTTTAAGTGAAGTCACCCAGACTCATGTTTCCTCTTACATGAAGACCCTGGACTTTTAGTTACTATATATATGCGTATATATGTATATGGGGATCATGAAAAAGGGGAACTAGCCAGAAAGGGAAGTGGGGGTGGAGGAGAATCATAGGAAAGCAGGATCAGCAAAAACAAAGAGTGTATAAAATGCTATAATTAAATTATTTTTAATGACAATTAAACATTAACTTGGGACTGAGGAAACTGAGTTCAAATCCCCAATATCCACATCAAAGTTTGGTGTGGGCAAGAATGCCTGAAACTCAACCACTGAGGGGTTGGAGACAGGAAAGATTTCAGGGACTTACTGACCAACCAGTCTAATCAAAAGCTATCAAGCTCTGGTTCAATGGAAGACTGTCTCAAGGGAACCCGACAGACGGTTAGAGCAAGACATTCGGACTGGAATAACGTGTATCCATACACAGAGATGAGTGTATACCACACATACACACACATGAATTAATTTCATTCTCTCTGTGTGTGCGTCTCTGTCTCTGTTTCTCTCTCCCCCCTTGGTTTTATGAGTGAATGTGGAAGCCAGAGGTCAGTGTTAGGTGTTTCCTTCATCACTCCGTTGCTCTTAAGTCTTATCTTTTGAGATCTGACCGTCTAGACTGGCAGACCAGCAAGCTCCACGGCTCCTCCCACCTCCCCAGCATGACAATTACAGGTGTCCAACAATATTCAACCTTTTCACACGAGTGTTGGGGTTGACGTTGGGTCCTCATGCATGTTCAGGAAGTACTTAACCAACTAAGATATTTCTCTGTGTCCAAAAAAAAATTTTTTTAAAGCCGTAAGGAAAAAAAAAGTTCCATTAAAGAAGAGAGATGACATCACGCTAAATGAAAAGGAAAAAAAGTCAGACACAGAACAGACGCTGTGAAGAGATGGGTGATATGGTTTAAGAGTATTTCCTAAACTCTTACGGTGAGACCTAACACTTGAATGTGATACTATTAGAGGTCAGAGTTTTGGGAAAATGATAATGTCGTAAGGCCAGGTGAGGTGCTACCAAGTCTGATGACTTGAATTTAATACCCAGGACCCACCTGGAGTAAAGCAAAAACCCACTCCTGCAAGTTGCCCTTTTACCTCCAAATGTGCATTGTGGCACAGGTGTACACACACACACACACACACACACACACACAATGATTTACAAACTATCCTTTATCTTGGCTGCAGAATGGTCCTTTTGTCTTATTTTTGTTTTGTTTATGGATTAGGGTGGAGCCAGACTTTAAAAATCAAATATATAGAATTCAAAGTCAGTAAGTAACCCCTGGAACTTTCTCTCAGATTGGTAAGTGGGTTCTCTAAGTAGTGCTGTCTAAGTCTTCCCTTGAAAGGAAGGGAAGATAAAATGATCTCCTAAGGAGTCAGACTCCACCCACCCTGTTGGAGGTTTGGGAGACTGAGGATGTTAAATTCCTGCAGCCGCCGGTGTGGTAAGAGAGGAGAAGGAAGAACGACAATAAAATAAAATAAAATAAAATAAAATATGCTCCTGGAGCCCAGGTGAGATTGGAAACTACACATTTTCTAAGGCAAAGTCATCTGTCAAAGATGTCAGGACAGTTTTTGAGTGGAAGAAGTCAACTTTGAAAGGCTGGCATTTCTGGGGCATTGTGATGGAGAGGCAAGGTCGCATAAACACCTCCCCCCCGCCAAATTTGGAGCACATGATTACTAAGATGAAGACGTGCCGAACACTTCATTCTCAGAAAATATTTTTATTCATACTGCAACTTGTCTGTTCCCAAAGCTGAGACGAACGAGGGCAGCTGTGGAAATGCTAGCTACATGGACAGATGTTTCTTTTGTCACCCAATGTCAGGTGCTATAGCTTGTATGTGACTCCCCCGAGCACACGGGAGGTAGGACTTGCTAAGGGATGAACAGGTCAAAGGGACTCTGCCCCTGTGAATGAATTTATGACGTTATCGTGGGTGTGGGTTAGTAACTGTGAGGGAGGACTTGATATGAAAGCAAACCTCTCCCCCGCTTGCCTTTCAGCCTTCTTCCCTGGTAGGACGCAGCATAAAAGCCCCTTCTCCATGCCAGCTACAGGCTCTTAGATTTCTCAGCTTTGGGAATCATAAGCCAAATACATCCCCGTCCTTTATAAATTATTCAGGTATTCCAGCATAGCAGCAGCAACAGCAGCAACAGCAGCAGCAGCAGCAAACAGACCAGGACCCCAGGGAACACACAGGTCAAAATCCAGTCCCATTTGTAACAGCTGACATGGTTTGGGGAGTGGGTGACAGCACATGTTCTCCACCCTGATCGAAGCCCCCCACTGGTTGGATTTCTGTGGCTGTGATAAATACCATGACCTCCTTGGGGAGGAAAGGGTTCATTTCATCTTCAGAGCTTCGAGACCATCAAGAAGGGAAGTCAGGGGAGGAACTCCAGGCAAGAACTGATGCAAAAGCTATGGAGGAACACTGCTTACTGGCTCGCCCTCCATGCCTTGCTCAGCCTGTTTTCTTATACCCAAAACCACATGGCCAAGGGTGGCATTGTCCACAGTAGGCTGGGCCCTCCTACATCAGTCATTAATAACAACAACGACAAAATGCTCCACCGTCTTGCCTACAGATCAGTAGTGTGACAGAGACAATTCCTCAGGTGGTGTTCTGGTTTCCCAGATGATTATGACTTGTGTCAAGTTGACAAAGAAGAAGAAGGAGGAGGAGGAGGAGGAGGAGGAGGAGGAGGAGGAAAGAGGAGGAGAAGGAAGGAGGAGGAGGAAGAAGAGGAGGAAGGAAGAAAAGGAGGAGGAGGGGGAGGAGGAAGAGGAGAAGGAAGAAGAAGAGGAAGAAGAAGAAGGAGAAGAAGAAGAGGAAGAAGAAGAAGAAGAAGAAGAAGAAGAAGAAGAAGAAGAAGAAGAAGAAGAAGAAGAAGAAGAAGAAGAAG